GGGGGGGGTTGGGGGTGGGGAAAAAATAATAAAAACCCCACATTACTTGATGTTGCTCCCCAGGCCATGATTCTAATTTCTAGCCCTTTATGCTGTCACTGTTCCTCTGTGAGGCTGTGCAGGTCGGCTGTTTGAGAACACAGTCACACACAATCAACTGCATATTAAAACAAAATGTCACTTTTTTTTAAGCTTTATGTAAAAAAAAAAAAAACAGTAGCTCAGAGCGATTTCACAGCAGAGGACAAAAACACACCAGCAGCTTATCACAGAGGCGCTGTGAGTTAGCTTCAATTTTTATCTCCATCCTTTTCAAGATGTGAGATCAGTTGACGCTGCTTTATCAACTCTGAACCAATAATGTCTCAACAAAGCAGCGAGATTGGAGAGAAACCTCGTCGTTAGCTACATTTAGCCACAGGTAACCGGCTCCCACATTACCGGCTTCAAGCAGCTAAGCTAACTTAGTTTGTCTTCAGTGAATAAAGGTGATGAGCCTGGCAGCACGGCGCTAGCTGCTTTAGCTACAAATATCAGATCACACACTGGTCCTAATGCAGGTTTCCTAACTGAAACAAGGGCCACGAATCAGCTTCAACAAATGCTAACGTGCGGGGAAATGCTAATACTTTAAGTCAAGAAAAAAACAGGCTTACCCTGAATTTCAAAGGTCGTCATCAGCTGCAGAAAAACCATCAGGGTCCATGATCACATCCGGATGTCTACGCGCCGCACACGTCCACTGGCACTGGAATAATAATAAAAAAAAAATGTTGAAAGTTATTGGTGTTTTATGACTGTTGACCTTTTCAGAATCCAAACCCACATTTGCCCTATATACGCTAGGACTAGCTTCATGCTCATCTTTGTATGCCAAGGTTACAAAACATGGAGTTGTAGAATAATTAAACAGTGACTTTGCTTGCTGTAAGACGACAGTATAAACCGTTGTTACACAGTTTAGCTTACCTAGAAGTAGCCTTTGTGATATTACTGAAAAGATTAATTCAAGAAAAAAAATCACGCAAGTTACAGTAGATTCAGATTCGAATTTGTAATGCTCCTTATTTTAAATATTCGAATTATATTATATATTGGTTGAAGTGCCGCCTAGTGGACACACCGATATCCGCTTACGTCCCACGTCCCAAAGCTGTTATGTAACATTTGCTCAACTCAATATAAAATTGCATGAAGGGAAATTGAATCGATATAATTGTGTTATATAATTATTATATAGTTTCCGTGTCCTGACGAGCAGCGAGTTGCTCGATATGAGGTGGATATAGTTTCCGTGTCCTGACGAGCAGCTAGTTGCTCGATATGAGGGGGGGTGGGGGCGTAGGGTTGGTTTACCTGAGGCTCTTCGTCCTCTGCTAACCGTTCTGCGTACGCCGGATAACGCGTTGGATGTAGAGGTTGTGCTCAGGTTACTCGTAGTCGAGTGGTACTTTATTAAATAACTTGCTAATGGCGGTTTCTCTTGTTTTCATTTTCCCCGTTTTTAATGGAAATCCGAACACGTTCCCCCGCGACGCTTTAGAGGTTTTGGAGGGGACTGTGATTTCCAGCCCTGCTGCTGCGCTGCTGACCGCCATCTTGGAAACTATGCTCAACGTTGATTTGAGTCGTACGCCGGGTAACAAGTTGGATGTAGAGGTTGTGCTCAGGTTACTCGTAGTCGAGTGGTACTTTATTAGATAACTTGCTAATGGTGGTTTCTCTTGTTGTCATTTTCCCCGTTTTTAATGGAAATCCGAACACGTTCCCCCGCGATGCTTTTAAGGTTTTGGAGGGGACTGTGATTTCCAGCTCTGCTGCTGCGCTGCTGACCGCCATCTTGGAAACTATGCTCAACGTTGATTTGAGTCGTTGCGGAAGACACACAAGTTCGAACGTCAATTCCCACATTCGAAAGTTATGTAATTTTTTTTAAAGTTAGATATCGTCCCAGACTGAATCACAGGAAACCATTTCTGTGACATTAAAAGTTTTTCATAAGAAGTTTTTCATTTTGTCCAATCAACAGCAGTACACTCCTGTACTTCAGTTTGTCGTAATAACACAAATAGCTACAGACACTGTCAGTACTTCAGTTCTCCACCATTGTCGTCCACATTATTTTTAGAATTTCAATCATCATTATGAAGCTCAGATATTAAAAGTTAAATTATCTGAAAATATGGATATTTACAGATTTACGCACTCACAATGAACATTACTTGTTAGCATTATGTTGGCAACGACAAAGAAATAAAGATGATGTAGCTACAGTATATAATGTAGCATTTAACTTTAGCTTAATGTTATTGACTAACAGTACAAACATTTGTCATTTAAAAAATCTGTAGAAACATTTTTGAATATCTTAAAAAATATTGATAAACATTTACATATTTATGCATTGACATTGAACATGAATTATTAGCATTACGTCGGCAATGATAAAAAAATAAACATGATGAGGGAGGAACTAGCATATTAGCACTCTAGAGGCCAATGAGAGAAACAGATGTTCAAACACCCATGAGCCTTTGCATTCATTTTATTAATTGGTGATGTAGCACATTTGAACTAGTTGAGAAATGTATGTGTAAAAATGCTCTTTTTACCACAGTAGCATGTAGCATTTCACATTAGCTTAATAAATCTAACAGTACAAATATTTGCCAATTAAAAAAATCTGCCCAAACATTTTTTTACTCTGACCTTAAAGGCCAAGCTAACAAATTTTTTTTTTTCACTAAGCCAATGCTACGGCTGCTAAGCTAACAGACCAGGAAGTGAATCTTTAACTGCTAAAGAATACATAACAATAACACGATCATAGCAGCTTCTCATTCAACACAACTGTAGTTCTTGTTGTTTCATTTGTAACAAAGCGGGAAATTCTCATATCCTTGTCTCATCCTCGTCTCAGCAGGGTGGGCAACGGGGAGAAAAGGTAAGTGGAATTCTTGGGCGAACACAACATCCCACACATCTGTCAGAAGCCGTCAATCATCCGAGCTCCGTCACAGGCAGAGGGAAGTGGAGTCTGGTTTTATGGTGACTGAGTGAATTGTTGTGACAACCAGAAATGGGCAATTAGAGAAACTTTCTTCTTTTTCAGTGTTGACCTGCTCCAGTCTGGGTGACATATGAGAACAGTCAACACTTCTGGACTGAAATCTTTTTTCTTCCTGTTGTATTTTTAATTAAAGCCTAAAATTGTAGGAAACAAACAATGGAACACGATGTCAACTGTTGTTATTAAGAACCATCACTATATTATAATTGAAAAGTTTAAACAAAGACAACTAACTTGATTATTATTATTATTATTAAAACAAAAAAATCATATATTCTGATGGACATTTAAGATCAGATAATTTTAACTGCTGGTTTATTTTTATTTTTCGAACCCAATCTCTCTATTTACTGCAGACAAAACTCAAATGAGGTGAACAGCCATGGCGAAGCCATTTCCACGGTAAAGTCATACTGCCCTCCAGCGTTGAAAGAGCGGAATTAGTCACGTCAGCGTCCGAACACAGCAGATTTTTTACATGTATTTAAAATTAAAAATATGCAGTTCGGTAAACTAACTGAGCCTTTAATCTATGTCTGTTATTGTTTGGACTTAACAACTTTAGCTAATTTGTCATAAATAAATTGAGTTCTGCTTAAAATTGATGACGTATCACTCCAAAAAAAGTGACATAAACATTCTGGGAGATTAATGGCACCATGATGCATCACGACGGAATTTTCAGGAAGTGCAGGACCTTAACAGCAATACACACCAGAAAACAGACTAAACAGTAGCTTATTTTGAACAACATTTAGGTAAATATACCTTGGATTTAATGTTTTATTTGTTAGTTTAAAGTAACTCGCTTCTATTCTGTTAAACTAACTAAAAAAACAACACCTGCTTCTCCTTCTGGCTCCGCGGCACTTGAACAGTCCTGACCTGAAAGAACTCGTCTTTTTCCCACTCTTTGACGGAGCAGCTGTTGTACTGCAGGTGCTGTGGCGTCACGTGGCATCGAGTCATCGAAACAGAAGAAGACAAAACAAACAAAAAAAAGCAAATAAAATCTCACCATGAAAAACTCCTCTTCTTTCGCTCTCAGTGTCAGTGGTCGAACATGCCGTTTGATGAGTTGCTGCCATCTACAGGTGTTAAAGTGTAACGTGGCAGCTGGGGGACAGTGTTTAAAGAGCTATAGTTCAGTTCTTAAAGAGGGGTTTCAGCAGCTTCCGTAGTGTAGGGGTTAACTCGTTCGCCTAACACGCCAAAGGTTCCAGGTTCGAGACCGGGTGGAAACTGAGCAGAACTGTTTTTGACACAATAACTTCTCCAAAAAAATAATGGTGGGAAGGATAGGGAGGAAAGAATGATGGAAGTAAGAATGGTAGGGAGGATGGAAGGATGGAAGTAAGAATGGTAGGATGGAAGGAAGGAAAGAAGGAAGAATGGTAGGTAGGAAGAAAGGGAGGAAGGAATGAGGAAAGGAAGGATGGGTGGAAGGAAGGAGGAAAGAAGGATGGAAGTAAGAATGGAAGGAAGGAAATAAGGATGCATAGAAAGAAGGAAGGAAAGAGGTAAGGATGGAAGGAAGGAAATAAGGAAGAACGGTAGGTAGAAAGGAAGGAATGAGGAAAGGAAGGAAGGATGGGTGGAAGGAAGGATGGAAGGAAGAATGGTAGGAAAGAAGAATGGTAGGAAGAAGGAAAGAAGGATGGAAGGAAGAATGGAAGGAAGGAAATAAGGATGCATAGAAAGAAGGAAGGAAAGAGGTAAGGATGGAAGGAAGGAAATAAGGAAGAACGGTAGGTAGAAAGGAAGGAATGAGGAAAGGAAGGAAGGATGGGTGGAAGGAAGGAAGGATGGAAGTAAGAATGGTAGAGAGGAAGAAGGAAAGAAGAATGGTAGGAAGGAGGAAAGAAGGATGGAAGGAAGAATGGAAGGAAGGAAGGGTGGAAGGAAGGAATGAAGGAAAGAATGAAGGAAGGATGGGTGGAAGGAAGGAAGGATGGAAGGAAGAATGGTAGGAAGGAAGAAGGAAAGAAGGATGGAAGTAAGAATGGTAGAGAGGAAGAAGGAAAGAAGAATGGTAGGAAGGAGGAAAGGAGGATGGAAGGAAGAATGGTAGGAAAGAAGAATGGTAGGAAGGAGGAAAGAAGGATGGAAGGAAGAATGGTAGGAAAGAAGAATGGTAGGAAGAAGGAAAGAAGGATGGAAGGAAGAATGGAAGGAAGGAAAGAAGGAAGAACTGTAGGTAGGAAGGGAGAAAGGAAGGAAGAAAGGAAGGAAGGAAGGAGGAAAGGAAGGAAGGAGGGGTGGAAGGAAGGAAGGATGGTAGGAAGGAAGGAAGGATGGAAGGAAGAATGGAAGGAAGGAAGGGTGGAAGGGTGGAAGGAAGGGTGGAAGGAAGGAAGGACGGGTGGAAGGAAGGAAGGGTGGAAGGGTGGAAGGAAGGGTGGAAGGAAGGAAGGACGGGTGGAAGGAAGGAAGGGTGGAAGGGTGGAAGGAAGGGTGGAAGGAAGGAAGGACGGGTGGAAGGAAGGAAGGGTGGAAGGAAGGAATGAAGGAAAGAATGAAGGAAGGATGGGTGGAAGGAAGGATGGAAGGAAGAATGGAAGGAAGGAAAGAAGGAAGAACTGTAGGTAGGAAGGGAGAAAGGGAGGAAGAAAGGAAGGAATGAGGAAAGGAAGGAAGGATGGATGGAAGGAAGGAAGAAAGGGAGGAAGGGAGATAGGGAGGAAGAAAGGAAGGAAGGATGGATGGAAGGAAGGAAGGAAAAAAGAAGTGAGGAAGAATTGAAGGAAGGAATGAAGGAAGGATGGAAGAGTGGAAGGAAAGAAGGAAAGAAGGAAAGAAAGAATGAAGGAAGGAGGGAAAGAATGAAGGAAGGATGGAAGAGTGCAAGGAAAGAAGGAAGGACGGAAACAAGGAAAGAAGGAATGAAAGAAAGAAAGAATGAAGGAAGGAATGAAGGAATGAAGGAAGGGACTTAAACATCCCTCCTATCAAACAACAGATAATCAACTGCTGGGTTAAATGCTGCTTTGAAGCCTTTTATCTCAGTAGAAGGAATTATAAAAACCCCATGTCACCATAGGATTGAATCCAAATCTCACCATTGTGTTAAAACATAATCACAACTTGATCGTGTGTAGGAGACTAGGAGACTAGGAAAGGACACTTCAGTTTTTCCCCTTTTTAGTCTCGACACCAACTGAACCTGAAGTGTTCTAAATAATAACTTTTTTTTTTCTTAAAAAATTACTACAGTAATATTTTTTTAAAATCCTTATGGCAATGGATTCTGAAGCGAATGAATTCCAGCTCAGATTTGAAGAACTGAAGAGACAGGGAAGCAGTTCGTCCAATGACAGGTGAGCTCACTCTGTCCACCGTTGTCATGGAGACGACTTCATTTCGTTCATTTACTTTAATAAAAAAAACCCATTTCATATCAGTTCTTTAAGGAAGGAAGGAAGGAAGGAAGGCACAGAGAGACTCTGACAAATACATTTAAAATCAGAGCACCACATAGAGGGCGCTATTGCAAAGATTTTTAAAAATTTTTTTTTACTCCATAGAAAGGCAGAGTGGGAACACATGGCCCAGCTGTGCGTGAAGAACCTGCGTCTGGACATAGCCCGCGTATGTCTTGCAAGACTGGGCAATGCCAGGGCGTTAAAAGCCCTGAGGGAAGTCGAGGCTGAGCCGGAACTACAAGCACAGGTGGCGATGTTGGCCACTCACCTTGGCATGCTGGTAAGATGTGAGAGGTATTACTTTATAGTACTACAATGTATCCCACTGTATATACAGTGTGCAAATATGTTACGTTGGAGAAATCACCACCAAAAAAAAAAAAAATCAAAAAAAGTATATGAAAAGTACAGTAATACTATGATCTTGTAGTTTTTATTTACTCAGAGTAAATACTGATGTGCTCGGTCTGAAACCTGGGCCTGTTTAGTTGAACACGGGACTGATATACTCTCAGGTATTGAAGAAAGACACACTCAAAGATCTTCTTCAACAGATCAACACATGGTCATGTGCTGCCACCTAGTGGAACAGTATTTAATTTAGTTGCCTAGCACTGTGGCATAGGCAATTTTTTATTTTTTTTTAAATTTAGGGTTACCCTGATCGGTCTTTTAATTTGAAAAATTATGACATTTGCCCTCTCTTTTATATATGTATTGAATCAGTATTTGTCGTCCATCTTTTCTAACATTTCAGACCATTTTTTTTTTCAACAGGAAGAGGCTCAGACCTTGTACAGGAGCTGTCACCGCTTTGACCTTCTGAACATCTTCTACCAGGCTTCAGGCCGGTGGCAGGAGGCCCTGGAGACAGCCGAGGGCCACGATCACATTAATGTGAAGAACACCTACTACAGATATGCCAAATACCTGGAGTCCACAGGGGACACGCCCCAGGCCATTGACTAGTGAGTCACTCTCTGGTTGAGGTGTGTGTGTGATGACAGACCATGACGTGTTTTGTTTTTGTTGTTGTTGTTGCAGTTTTGAAAAGTCGGACACTCACAGGACTGAAGTTCCTCGGATGCTCCAGGACGACCTTTCTGCTCTGGAGGTCTACGTTAACAAGAAGAAGGACAAGTGGGTCATTTGGGTTCATGGCCCACATACAACCTAATTAGATGTCAAGTGGGCCAGACTGGTACAATCATAGCATAGTTACCTATAAATAACAATAAGTCCATGTTTTTCCCCTTTGTTTTCATGCAAATCTCTCTCTTTTAACAAAATATAATTTTACAAAAGAATACCAAACATGAAGCACGTGTGTATTTTTGTATTTTCAAAATCCATCAAGCGGACCGGATTGAAAATCTCGGTGGGCAAGTTTTGGCCCGCGGGCCGTATGTTTGACACATCTGTTTTAAACAGCTTGGGTGTTGGTTTACAAACATCTCTTTTTTCCCATGTCTCGGTCATTTCTATTCCTCCACGTCACTTTTTTCACATGTTTTTCACACCATGAGAAGGATGGATATAAATGTTTTACAAAAGAATACCAAACATGAAGCGCGTGTGTATTTTTGTATTTTCAAAATTCATCAAGCGGACCGGATTGAAAATCCCGGTGGGCAAGTTTTGGCCCGCAGGCCGTATGTTTGACACACCTGTTTTAGACAGCCTGGGTGTTGGTTTACAAACATCTCGTTTTTCCCGTGTCTCGGTCATTTCTGTTCCTCCACGTCACTTTTTTCACGTTTTTCACACCATGAAAAGGATGGATATAAATATATTTATTTTTACTTTACTTTTGTTCCAGGGACATCTTTAAGTGGTGGGCTCAGTACCTGGAGACCCAGTCGGAGATGGACTCAGCGCTACATTTTTATGACTGTGCTCAGGATTATCTGTCCTTGGTGCGACTCCACTGCTTCATGGGCAGCAGCCAAAAAGTGAGTGTTTCACAGCAAACATTTCTGACCACCTTTGGTCCTGTGGGCGTCCAGAACCAGACGCGGACCTCGTTTTGATCAACAACTGAATTCTGTATTACACTTTGATTTGGTGTTTCTCAAAGCATGGGGCGGGCCCCACTGGTTGAGCACGGAGACATGATGGGAGGAAATCTTCATGGTTCTAGTGATGATGTCAAAACGGAACTTTTATTTCCTCTTTTTGAACTTTTTACTTTTTTTGAACTTTTTTGAACGTATTATTTGATGCTAATTATTGACGTAACTTGATGTTAGTTCAAAAAAATTGAAATGTAATTTGTCGAGATTTTTGTCGAGGTGACGGGGGCAGGAGGGGCATGGAAAAGTACAAGTAAAAATTCTATCAGTAAGTAGGTTTCACAGCGCCACCTGGTGGTAGTGTGTGTTAGTGTTTTTTACTACTTCTGTCTGCTGGGTTCAACAGAGTGAAAAATAACTTTATTTTGTGTCCAGGGTGTAGTGTGTACCTGTACCTTGGTTTTAGCTCTAGCGCCACCTGTGACAGTGAAAATGATTAACACCTGAAATGATAAAGTGTACGGATTCATCTTTTTTTTTCTTTCAGGCGTTTGAGATCGCCCACGCCTCGGGTGACAGAGCAGCGTCGTACTACCTGGCCAGACACTACGAGCGTCATAACGAGGTCAAACAGGCGGTGCACTTCTACATCCGCGCCCAGGCCTACAACAACGCCATCAGACTTTGTAAGGTGAAGTACTTTTACCACCGAGTATCAATAAAAACTCTATAAAAAAGGCCTAGCATGGAATAAGAATTCTGCATACGGCTATCAATGTCGCCCTCTAGTGGCGAACTTCCACCTACAGTCTGCTTCCTAGGTTTTTTTTTTTTTTTCAAAGTAGATGTTTTGTCCATGATTGAACTTTGACCTCTGGTCCTAGCAGGACAACGGTCTGGACGACCAGCTGATGAACATGGCTCTGCTCAGTAACCCCGAGGACATGATGGAGGCCGCGTGTTACTACGAGGAGCGAGGCACCCACATGGACCGAGCCGTCGACCTTTACCACAAGGTTTGATAACAGCAGCTGTTTCTGCAGCGCCCCCTTCTGTAGATGTGAATATTGTTGGACCCTCCCGTCCCACAATATGGACACTTTCACAGCTATTGTTCCGAAAATTTGATTTTAAAAATCTTAAAAATCGGAATCACATTTGTAATAAAATGATTCCACCATTAACATAAAATATTAAATTAAATTAATGTTAAATTTAAAATTTTAATTAATTTGATCTACTGCAACATCATTGCAATACTTAAAATTTTAATTAATTTGATCTACTGTAACATCCCTGCAGTACTTTGTAGTTCTTTGTCTACAAGTGGGCCCTGCCCTCTACTTTGAGAACCATTGGTCATCAACAAAAGGATTGTTGTTGCTTGATCCCACCATAGGGGGGCGGTGTTGTATTATTAACTATACAAGACAGAACAGAAGAGTTCCTACTTTAATTTTTTTTTTTTTATACCTTACAGGCTGGCCGTGTGTCCAAAGCTCTGGAGCTAGCCTTTGCCACGGAACAGTTCTCCGCACTTGAGTCAATCGTGGAGAACTTGAGCAAGAACGCAGACCCCGCCCTGCTGGCGCGCTGCTCCGACTTCTTCAACACGCATTCGCAGTACGACAAGGCAGTGGAATTACTGGTAACTGCCAAGAAGGTAAGAGTACTGGACTACTCACTACTACAGTACTACTTCATACACGGTGCGGTCTCTTTACCGGTCATGCGCGTGTCCGAGTACCGGAGGTGGAAAAAATACCAAAATATAAGTACAATTAAAACTACAAGTCTAAAGGTAAATGTAGGTACTTTAAAATGTACTCGAAGTAAAAGTTACTTTGCTAGTTTTTTAAGAAACCTAAATGATTTTAGCTTCACGAATAAGCCGTAGAAGAAGAAATCACGTCGGACTCTGTTGCCGCTCTTGCACAAGGTGCGTTCAGGTACCATCGGAAACTTGAGAATCTTGTCCAGAACGCGATTTTTATCCTTTCTTGATTGATCTTTTTTTTATTTTTAACTCAATTACGGATGTGAGTCAAACAAAAAACAAGTAAAAGTAAGTTAATGTGTACTTTAAAAGTACACATAAGAAAACGACTCGGTTCCTTCCCTGAAGTGACGCTCGTTCCTTCCCGCCTGTGTCCAGTACCAACAGGCCCTGGAGTTGTGTGTGGTCAGGGACGTGGTCATCACGGAGGAGCTGGCGGAGAGGATGACACTGGAGTCCAAGGATCTGCCCGAGGAGGAGCGCAGGACGGTGCTGCAGAGGTTAGGAGACTGCTGCAGGCACCAGGGCAACTACAGCCTGGCCTCCAAGAAATACGTGCAGGCGGGCAACAGGCTGAAGGTAACGTTTCTGGAAGTGCCACGACGGCAGGGACTCTGTTACTGGTCTTGATTTGTAGTCACGTTACACAGGTTTACGTGGTGTATACACACTATTCACTGCGACCCCTACTGTCCAACCAACTGAACTGTTCACTCCACACTGTCAATACTGCCTCTATATACAGTGATTATTCTATAGTGTTCAATTGCTAATTCTATCCATCCATCCGTCCGTCCACCCATCCATCCATCCAACCATCCATTCATCTATCCATCCATCCAACCATCCATCCATCCATCCATCCATCCATCATCCATCATCTATCTAACATCCATCCATTCATCCATCCATCCATCCATCCGACCATCCATTCATCTATCCATCCATCCATCTATCCAACCATCCATCTATCCATCCAACCATCCATCCATCCATCCATTCATCTATCCATCCATTCATCCATCTATCCATCCATCCATCCATCCATCCATCCATCTATCCATCCAACCATCCATCCATCCATCTGTCTATCCATCCATCCATCCATCCATCCATCATCCATCATCTATCTAACATCCATCCATTCATCCATCCATCCATCCATCTATCCATCCATCCATCCATCCATCCATCCATCCATCCATCTATCCATCCAACCATCCATCCATCCAACCATCCATCCATCCATCTGTCTATCCATCCATCCATCCATCCATCCATCCATCCATCTAGCCATCCATCCATCCATTCATCCATCTATCCATCCATCCATCCATCCATCCAACCAACCATCCATCCATCCATCCATCCATCCATCTATCCATCCAACCATCCATCCATCCATCTGTCTATCCATCCATCCATCCATCCATCCAACCAACCATCCATCCATCCATCCATCCATCATCCATCATCTATCTAACATCCATCCATTCATCCATCCATCCATCCATCTATCCAACCATCCATCTATCCATCCAACCATCCATCCATCCATCCACCCGTCTGTCTCTCAAGGATGAGGTCGATCTTCTTCCTCCTCTGACGACGTTGTTTGTTTTTTTCCATTTCTTTTTTTAAACCAGGCCATGAAGTCTCTCCTGAAATCTGGAGACACAGAGAAAATCATATTCTTCGCCAACTTTTGTCGTCAAAAAGAGCTTTTTCTCATGGCCGCCGACTTCCTCCGCTCTCTGGACTGGCAGAACGATCCAGAAGTCCTGAAGACGATTATACATTTTTACACTTCGGCCAAAGCCCAGGATCTTCTGGCCGACTTCTACGAAGCCTGGGCTCAGGTAGAGAATCGAATAAAACTGAATTTTCAAATATCCAACGGTGGGGTTTTAAAATCTACATCAAATACTGATTTGAATTTTTTTTTTAATCAAGGTAAATATTGACGAGTATCAACGTTATGAAGATGCGATGAACATTTTGACCGAAGCAGCCAAGTGTCTCACCAAAGGCCAGGACCCGTCGTCTGAACGGGACGATCCCAGATTGACTCGTCTGAAGCACAAGGTCGTCCTGATAAAGAAATACGTCCGTGCACGAAGGTAGAAAAAAAGAAAAAAAAACCCCACATACTTCTTCTCCAGATGTGTTTTCCAGCTGTAGCTCAGCGTCAACGTTCCACCTTCTCTCTGTTCTGCAGATTGTGCGAGGAGAACCCTGGGTTTGCCGTGCAGATTTGCGAGGCCCTGCTGCAGGAGCCGGACGTGGACCACGCCGTCAGACTGGGGGACATTTATGGTTTCCTGGTGGACCATCACTGTCAAAAAGGAAACATTCATTTGGTGACTGTCACGGCGTCTCACTAATTTAAGTCTCTGGGTTTTTTGGTTTTTTTGAGAACTCTGACCTTCCTGCGATCTTTAACCCCCCCCGTACCTCTCCTCCACCCAGGCTGTCGTTAAGCTGCGGGAGCTTCGTCAGCTGCTACCGTCCACCAACGTTGGACGTTTCATCAGCAAGTCCAGTGCGGAGGTGTTGAAGAAGGAGACACTCGTTCACAGCGAGCGAGGTGACGGCGGACACGTTTCGGACGAAGATTTGTTGCTGTAATAAAACCACCGATAAAATCTACGGCTGCATGTTAGGGTGATCACTGGTCCCAAAGTGGGGCTCTGCCCCGCCCCCTGGAGGGCACTATTAATTTTTGAATTATGAGGTAAAAAAAAAAATCACTGATTTGTAATTTTATCTGTTCAGTGACATTTGTCAACATGAGGGAGTTGTGTTTTTTACCCATGTTCTTCCCATATGAACTTATAAAACTGAATATGACGTCATCAATTATAACTTACCAGGTAAACAGATCGTCATTATTCATTTTTTAAAACCAATTATATCTATCTTACCAGGTAAACAGATCGTCATTATTCCATTTTTAAAACTGTTTAAAATCTGTTTTACAAATGCATACATTTCGGTATGTTACAGTCATTGGCCACTAGATGGCAGGTCCGTTCCAAGTGTTAGTCAGCCGTAGCCATACTGTAGTACTGCACATCAAGGAGATTAACAAAATCTTCAGACACAAAATATTTTATTGTTTCTGACAGATACACATCATCCAACAGCTTATTGGTTAGCCCACTGCACATGCCCAGAACAGGAAGCATCTGTGTTTGATCAGATCCAAAACTATTTCAAAAAATAATAAAGAAATACAGACGCCAGCCAAAAACACCAAAACGTCCACATCGCCTGAGTTCCATACGCACACCTGTAAATATTACTAAAGCAGTTTATTCAACATTTAATTATTAAAGATCATACAACAGCAGGCCTGTGTTACTGCAGCTGCAAACAAAGCTAAATTGTCATAAAGCAAACACTAATAGCATGTTAGCATGTGGCTAATGAGTGCCATGGAAACAGAAGCAGCGACTGCTGGAAGCCTGTAGGGTGCAGTACAGGAGCTCAAGCGCTTGAAGTTTGATCATAGACCTAAAGCAGTGGATTTAAACCCCTGGCCTGGGGGCCACTTCAGGCCCGTGAACCCCTCACATATGGCACGTTCTTTGATGACAATATTTTTGCCCTTGAGGTAAAAGTAGTACAGTTGAGTATTTGAAACAAAGAAAATTTATTTTTCTTTAATATCCTAACGTGGCCCTCCAAGGACGTAACGGTTGTAGCAGTTGCCCCCTGCTGGTTTGAGTTTGAACTCCCTGACCCTAGAGTGAATTGGCTTCACTGGTTGTAGATAAACAGGCGTTTGTGTTTTTCACTACTCAAAATATCGATTAGCAGCAAATGAGACGCCCAACGTTGAACCGAACTGTTCTGCGTTCTCGAGCGTGTGCTTTTATTTGTTAGGAAACGTACGATACAAAAAGGTTTGACGACATGTTACATGTGCTTTACGTCTGAAATGTTCACAACAGCCTCAGAATTAGCGTTGATCTTTGGCAAATGTGCTAAATGCTAAAAGTGTTACAGTCGAACTCAGGCACTGTCTCAGTCGTCAGTTGTGCTTTTTTTTCCCCTCTGCCTCGTCTTCTAGGACTTTACTTCCTTCCCTCCTAAACAGGACATAACTTTTGTCCTTGTTTCCTCTAGACCAGGCGTGGGCAAACTAAGGTCCGGGGACCGGATGCGGCCCGTTTGCTTTTTTTAATCCAGTCCGCCAAATTATACGATCTGCCTTTTCCCTGCGATGCCTGTATTTCCCCAACAGATGGCGTAGAATAGTCTCAAAAGCATGCTGTATTTCCCCAACAGATGGCGTAGAAGAGTCTAAAAAGCATTTTAGCATTTTAGCCTCTAGCATGTCTTTTACATGTAATTTTTCATACTGCTCCATCTATCTGCTCCTGACCCGGCCCCCCCGTGGCAAATTTTAGGACCCTAGACTTTTTTCGCTATTTGTCAAATCTTTAGCTAAATTTGCTCATACATGTACGTCATTTTGGTCAATACAAATACATTCTGGTTTGTTTTTTTTTTTCAAACATTTTTTCTGTAATCAGTCCTAACGTCTGGTGCATATTGTAACGGGACAGACCAGGACAAAGACCAGGACAAAGACCGATGGTCCGAGCAGGGACACAATACAATACGTTTTTTTTTTGTTTTTTGTTTGTATTTTCTTCCCTTTAGATCATTTTCCCTTTCCTTAAGAGCCTTTTTTTAGTGACGTCACAAATGTACAAAAAACTCACAAAACTGTGCCTAATATTGTGAGTACCAGACAGGTAACCGTACTACGGCAGTGACCAAACAGTCAGTTGAAGAAAACCCATGGTCATAAGTAGCATAAACGCCATTAACTTTTGCCCCCTATTTTGAGCATCACCTTCAGATCTTTGAGATCAAATTGATAAAACAAACACATTTTAAATGTTTTAATCTTTCGTGGCCTCTGCGTGACCATTTAGTTTCCACATCTTTTTCTCGATGATTTTTACGAAACTGGAATATCGACTGAAAGTCGAGGGAGAAAATCCTAATAAGTGCTAAGATGGCGTCTAAGTATGTCTTACATATGGACATATGGACGTCTTCTTTTTTTTAAAAATGTACTTGAGGTCCAAGCAACTGCATCAAGCAAAAAAAAAAAAGCCAACTTTTTTAAAATGATAAATAGTTCAGGTCCTGGTTTTGTTAAAACCTAAAATGACAGTCATTTCCAAAAAAAGCGCTGTCTGCAGCTCTGTACTTGTAGAGATTGAAGTATTTAATAGTACTGTCAGGATGCTGAGAATATTATAATCTGTGTTGCGTCCCATTATCGGTCATAGTGTGCAAGTGAATCGTTAAAAAATGCATTAGCATATGCCAAACTGTGTCACATCGTGGTCCTTCCAGTCCAAACCAGCAACAGTTACTATTAAATAGAACACCTAGCAGCACAACCACCAATATATTCTGCTCCATTTGCATAGAACCAGCACCGCACAGTCCATGAAACACACCATAGAAAAACACGTCCATTCGTTTTTAGTAAGACTTCCGATACGCTCTTTGTTTCTTTTAACAAACTCACCGGTTAGCTAGTTCAGTGTTTCCCAACATAAGACTTCCGATACGCTCTTTGTTTCTGGCTAACTCACTGGTTAGCTAGTTCAGTGTTTCCCAACGTCCTCTGAGCCACGGCACATAGTTAACTCACAACGCATCACCAAACATGAAACATAATAACCTTCTAGTTACAATTTGCTTACTCGGTTTGAAACATAGGCCTGTTCCGATGAACGACGCTCGTATACTGGCAGGAATTGAAGAAAGAGATACACAAAGATCTCTGTTGTTTTTTTTAAGTTTCTATAGCCATCTGCTGCCATCTAGTGGAGTAGTATTTAATTGCTCCGTCATAGACAAACACAAATTAAATTTGTGTTTATCGGAACATTTCCGATCATCATCTCTCGTGACACACTAACGTGCCAAGGCACAGTGGTTGGGAATCACTGAGCTAGTTAACCACTTAAAATCGTATCTGCTGTCACTATAAAATCGTACCAAAAAGAAGTAAAAACAATGGATAAAATAATAAACTTTCACTTTCATCACGTCATTATCTACAGTCAAGGACAAATTAAAAAAAAAAATCTCATTCATAACTGAAAAAACTTTTTTCCCTTAAGGCGTAAATCGTAGATGCGTTAAAATGTCATGCAGATGCACACATTCCACTGTAAGCAGGCACAGAGAGAGCGAGGGAGAGAGAGAGAGAGAGAGAGAGAGAGATTTGATATAATTAGTGTACGTACGGTCATATGCTAATCTTAGATTTGTTACGAACAGAGATGCACCGATGGCACCGGCCAGGGATCGGACTCGGACGGTTTTCTGACTGTCGAACAGGCAAAACAGTACATTTGTATCATGCTTTGCAGCCGATCATTTTGGGCATGCGTCCTGTGCTGTCGAACAGCAGGGGGCGCTCAGGATCTCAGGAGCTAACGTGTCGTTAGCATGTAAGTACTTTACTATCCAGAATGTAGCTATATATAAATATATATATAATATACTAATACATATATACATATATATATATATATATATGTAATATATATATATATATTTAGAGGAACCACTTTTCAGGGTCATCACAACAACCAAGGCAATTGCCCGGGGCCCTGAGCTAGAAAGAGCCCCGAGAGACGTCTGCCATTGGTCCATTTATTGATGACAAAATGACTGAACTGCTTTAGACACTGCAGTGCTCCCTCTTGCCTGTGCGCCCCCCCCTCCCCCCCCCAGGGGTATCTAGAAACACCCCTGTCAGTCACCCAGCACTTCACTGTGGAAGGTACTGACCTGAAGAAAGAACCTGCGACTGAGTGCAGTTTATCGGAAATCTTTCGTAGTTATCTTCATAGTAGAACGTTTTGGTGCTGAAAAGCACTTTACTTTTGGTTTAATTCAAGTATAATAGTATTAATAATAATATTTTTAATTGAAAGAAAATCAGCAAAAATTGATCAAATTGATATCCGCAAGTCACGCTCACCACAAAATGGAAAATCGACCAAAAATTGCAATCGGTGCACCTCTGGTTACGGCACATGTATCGTTGTAGTTCTAATCCGTTTGCGCAGACACACCCACGATCGTTGTAGTTCTAATCCGTTTGCGCAAACACACCCACGCACACACATACGCACACACACACACAGACTATGTAACTCTCTCAGGCTTTTCAGGCAAAATAAGAACAAAAGGTAAAAGAACTCCCTTGGCCTCCAGCGGCACCCTCAGCGTCTCCTCCACAAAGTAGGCGTTCTCCTCCTCCACCACAAACTGAAGAGTCTGGGACTTGTTCACACAGAAGATGTAGTTCCCTAGCACCGCGCACCTGAACGGGAAGTAGCTCCCGAGCCTCTGTGACGCGCAGTCGTGCCACATTTTCACGATGGTGTTGTACTTGAAGACGTTGATGCCTTGCTCGCGGTTGACGTCGAAGCGGTAGATGAAGCTCTTGAAGGCCACCATGTCGCTGGACTTCTTCCTGCTGTTGTTGTAGGGACACTCCTGCCACTCGTCCCTCTTGGGGTCGTATTTGAGGAGGCGGTAGAAGAGGGAGCCCCCTGACACGTACAGCTCTCCGCTGCAGGTCGTAGCCTCGTGGGCCACGGCGAAGGCTCCCTTGGGCAAGGGGGCGATGTCAGTCCAGCGGTCCTTTCGAGGGTCGTATTTCTCCACCGAAAACAAACACTCCCCTCCAATGGCGTACAAGTAGCCGTCCATCGAAACGAGCTTTAGCTGAGCACGTGCCTGGTTGAGAGGTCTGATCTCGGACCAGCGGTTGGTTATGGGGTTGTAACAGAAGACTTTGTCTGTAACTTTACCCTTGTCCCCGTAGCCCTTAATGCCCCCCGCCACAAACAGGTAGTTATACATGGTGCAGATCCCACAGCCCTTAGTGTTTATTTCCTCAGGCAAAGAGGTCAGAGGTCTCCAGTCATTTGCAGTTTCATTAAAAAGGTAAATCATGTGGGTCTCCTCCAAAGACCCCTCTGACAGCGGGCTCTGAGGTCGACTGCCGCAGCGACTCGGTGGTCGACTCCCGACTCGATCAAACACGTCGTTGATTTCTGCGGCCATTAGGGTCTTCTTCCCCTCCATCCTCTTCTTTAGGATCAGATCCCGCTCCGATCCGTTCAGACGACCATACGCAGCCGGGTCTTTGAGGACCTGGAGGAAGTTGTCGCTCATGAACCCGTACGCCGTTTCCTTCAGTTCGCTCAGTCGCTGCTTCTTGGCGATGGACAGAATCTCGTAGCAGTTCTCTGTGGTGATTTGTTCAGACATGGAGTCCATGGCAGCTTGGACGGCGCACGGGATCTGAAGGATCTTAGCTCCCGTGATGACGTCCACCACGTTGTCCTTGCTTACATTCATGTGCGAGGTGTAAACGTAGTCGATCAGCGTCGTCAGAGTGTTGTAGCTCATTCCCTTCACTTTCAGAATGTCTCGAGAGAGCCGTGCCTTAAAGTAGTCGCTCTTCTCTGCCAGGACCGACTTGTGTGCGCTGATGGCCTGTCCGCCAACTTCTATGACCAAATCAGGTTCTTCTTTATTCTGGGAATTTGCAGTTTCTTCATGGGAGTTGGACCTAAAAGGAGGTGTGTCGGTGTTCTCGTCTGTGCAGAAACGGACTTTAGACCGGGCACCGTTAGGAATTTTACTTGCAAAAGTTTCCTGGGTGCTTGACGTATGATTAGACACAGTGGAATCAGCGTGAGGACGGAGATCGAGACCTGGCTTATCATCAGCATCCGCCGCGGACACACAAGTACCGTTGCCTTTCGGATGATCGACATGATTGTTGCCCATCAGTCGTCCGTCCAGCAGGTACTCCTTCTCAAACACAGTGGGCGGCTCAAAGTCCTTCTCATCCTGCAAACATTTCTGCCCGTAACCCGGGCATACATTCCCGTCTTTGTCGGGAGTCGAGACAAGGTCGGTGCTCACGGTGTGGAGGATCACATCGGCCTCCACGGTGAAGGAGCCTCTGCTCTGCATGTGGCCCTCATCCATTGCTGACGTTGCTCAGTGGTGACGACGGAGCGCACATCCACAGATCATTCCGTGGAGTTGAGTAAAAAAAACTGCCGCCTCTCTCTTCGGCAGCGTCACCTACATGACAGAAAACAAAAAAAGCATGTAATTATCCTTTAAGACTGCGGCGACCGCTCCGTTCTGCTAAGGGGCGCCGTTTCTTTTAACAGTGGTGAACTGTGACATTTACAGGAAAATGTTACTGCGCGCTGCTGTTCTCAGCTCTGTTCTGTGATGCATCCTGTGCCATTGTTTCCACATTTGAACTTTAGAATACGTCAAGTCACTGTTTCCACCTAATGTTTTGACCTAATTGCAGCTAAATATATAATAATATAAATATATATTTTGCTGAAGGTTTTAATGCTCTGAAACTGTTACATATTTTTTTCTTAGTTTATTTAATCTTTTTTTTTCTATCTTTACTACATACAAAACACTTACGGAGAGTCACAGATAAATGTGTCCAGTTTGTATAAACAATCTATGATTCATACTGTCTTTCTACCAGAAAAAGATAAACACAAACCACCTACACCTGCATACTCTCGGTCAGATTAGATTAGATTAGATTAGATTAGCTTCAACCCATGCTTTGGAAACTGACATGTTGCAGCAACAAAACAAAAAACAAAACAAACAGTGACAGAAATGAGGAAATGAACACAGTGATTACAAACAGAATGATAATAAAAAAAGAAAAAGAAGAAAATTTAACTGCACTGACTAGTATTAATTACAAAATAAAATACCTATATATATATATATATATATATATGTATGTACCTTTTGACATTTATACAAACAAAATGGGAACAAACTGCTGTGATAGGCATTAAAACTCTCTGCACTTGTTGCTGGGGGTGTTCCACTTCCTGGGGGTAGATGTGCTCTGCTTGAGGGCATTAAGAGGGCAGATTATGGGGGCTTTACGGTACCTTTCGACATATGTTGATTTAAGACTGAAAAAAACGTCTGTTTGGGTTTAGCCGTGTAGCCGTTAGCATCGCGTATGTGAAGTAAATTCAGGTTTATTTCACCAAAAAAAAAAAAAAAGACTTGTTAGAGTCATGTCATCTGGTCTGGATTATCTGTCTGTGAGGCCGAATTATACATTTAAAATAAAATGAACCAGAAGTCGAGTCCAGTCAGTGAAACGGAGCGACATTCGAAGTTGCTAAATCAAAACCTTTCACGTAGTCTTTATCCGTCATTTGTGTTAATCTGCTATTTCGCAGCGCGCATGCGCGTCCTGTGCTGCGCGGATGCAAGAAATAATCTCGCAAGAAAAAAAAGAAAAAATAAGGCGTGATCATCAACAGCAGCAGCAGCAGCTCAGAGTGGACCCGTTAATGTGGACCACAGCCACATTAACAGACACGTGATCACGTGACAGTTCGTCCACAGACACGGAGTTTTAAATGTGACCTACCTGCATTAGGAGTTACGTAAAGGCGGCGTGAGTCCCGTGGAGGCAGCCAGGCTGTGGGTTCCACTGGATGACTCCACTCCACACCACTCCACGACCGACACGTCCCGCTTCTCTAAGCCATACGGTCCCGTCCTGTTCCGCAGAGCCGTCTCTCCGTCAGTGACTGTCGTTTGGTGGGAATTTCCTCTAAAGGCGCGGCGACAGGAATGAAAATCACACCTTCATTTCAGGCGCACCTTTTCCCCCAACACCCCGGCTGTCGCCGCAGAGTTTCTTCTTCTCCTCCTCCTCCTTTTTCTTCCTCCTCTTCTTCTTCTTCTTCTCCACCTCCGCGCTCATCCAACGTCCTCTCCCTCCAGGACAGTGGCGGCGTCCACGCAGTCACTCGGCTCTCTGACTCTCTCTCTCTCTCTCTCTCTTCAGCTCTCGCTGTCTCTCATTCTTTTTACAGTTCAACTACCGTGAGGCGGTTATTATTGATTCAAACCACGCCCCCTAGAGCCAGCTTTAACCCTACACTCTCAAAAAACACCGGGCTCCATCTGGGGGACGCGTGTCCTCCACAGAGATGCAGCATTCCTTTACGCACCATCCCCCGAGCTGGGTACCACCAGAGGGGGAGACGAGAGAGGAGGGGGGGGGGAGGTCTGTCTGGGTGACCGTGTGTGTGTGGCGTCCCTCCCTCCACACACACACACACATTAAAGGGGAAGTGCTATTTCTTAAAAGTCATCATAAAGTCATAAATCAGAAAGTACTGACACTTGGACACGTGATCAGGAATTAAGTGGACATGACATGTCCGTGACGTCACCTCCGTTTACAGATCACTTCAAGAATTTAGATTGATGATTATGACAGTATGTAGAATTCTATGCATCATAAACCTTCAGCGAATCGACCCAGTAGAGGAGTAGAACGCTGTTTCTCAACCTGTGGTTCTCGTACCATTAGCGATACTTGATCTCCCAGAAAATCTGAGGCTACGTTCACACTGCAGGTCTTGTTGCTCAATTCAGATATTTTAACAAAGATGCCCCCCACCCTGGCCCCCCCACACACACATATGTAAATATACATTTACATATATAATATATGTAGGCTACATATACTGTAAATATATATGTTTATATATACATAACTTTTAATATTTCAACTTGCTGAAAGCTGAAATGTTAATTCATTATGTTTTAGTTAAAACATTTTTCGCGATATTATTTTAGTTATAAAGTACTAATAAATATACAGTTTTGCCCCAAACTATAAACTAAGATTTATATATTTAGAATGTTTAGATATCAATTATTATAGCTACACACCCAAATCTATTTCTATATGTATAAATATTATACATATATATAAATATATACATAAATATACATATATATGCATATATTTAAATGTACATATATAAATATATCTGATTTAAAATTGTGTGTATTTCCCATAAGGTTCGTCCAATTAAAATATAAACAACCTCTATCCCACTGATACATCCACTATCCACCAGGTGGGAGGTTCAACACTCAATGAAAAATCAATGAAGAGGATCCGTTAGTTCTCAGTGACTGTGGCACTGACGGGACACGACTGACACGACAAGTCCATCTCTGGAAACACGAGGAACATTTCTGGGGCGTGGGATCCAAAGAATTCAAAGTTAATTGAGACATCAGAGGGTTTCCTAACGAGCGCTGACATCAACATGTGGAACGGTCGTGGTTCTCGGCTGTCTGACCAATACAATATGTCAAATTCCTGAACTAGCAGGCAGCCTGTTGTGGTTGATCCTGCCCCCCCCCTCCTCCCCCCTCCCCTTCAATATTCTTGTCTTTTATTCCTATTTTCTTTTTGCCAGCAACTTACTTTTGTTGTCGACGGTTTTGGTTTCTAATTCATTTAGAGGAAATTGCAAAATACAACATGATGGTTGACAGACGCGTTTAAAGAATGTGATGTCAATGAGTGACAAGTGAACCGTCCAATAGGATTCTAGTTACAGGCCGAAGTCAAAGGACCTGATAAAGTCGTCAGGTTTTAATCTGGGAACGGACTGCTTTCGTCATATATGTACATATATATATACATATATACATATATGTATATATACATATATGTATAATATACTGTATATAACACACACACATATATACATATATGTATATATATACACATATATAAATATGTGTAATATATAACACATATATATATTTATATATATGTACATACAAATTTGCATATGTACATATATAAACATACATATATGTATATGTATATATATACACATATATATGTAAAATATATGTAACACAAACACACATATATAGATATATAGATATGTATATATATAAAAATATAAATATATGCGTAATATATATAACATATTTATATATATGTACATACACATTTGCATATATGTACATATATATATATATAACATATATATGTAATATATGAGGTAAATAATCGTTGCCATGTGGTTGACTCGGTATGCCAGGCACATTGACGCAGCATGTGACAAAGTGGCATCCTTGAAGGACAGCAGCTGCAGGAGGAGACTTTTCCTCCTCCTTCTCCTCAGGAGACGCCGCGTCTTTACGACCGACCTCCACGCGTAAAAATAGAAGGCTAGCTGCGGCGAGGACATCAGACGACGACCAGGCCTGTGAGATTAGACGGTGTTCAACCGGGAGGCTTTAATGGTAGGTGTTCAGAACACACGCAGGGAGCGCGGGTGAGAGAGAGGAAGAGAGGGAGGGAGGGAGGGAGGAAGGGAGCGTCTCCATAGAAACGCCAGGGTCAGAGCGAAAAACAAAAGACTTCCCATCGCAGAGCTGTCTCCATACGAGAGCAAAGGCAACACCCAGGCAGACACACTGATAACTGGGTGACTCCAGCGTGGTGGAGGCGTAGCCACGTTCTACTTTGGTTAATAAATACAAGACGGTATTTAGTTACTGTCAAACATTCTCTTGTCAGGATGTGTTCAGACCGAGGCTAGGCCCACAGCCACGCTGCCTGAGGTTCCAGGTATTCTGTTCTTCTTCGTGCCAGCACCGACACACTACAGTGAAATGTGGTTGTGCAACAGTAGGAGATGGAGATGGTGGTGTATAAATAAAACACACAAGACGGGGTGACCCCTGTGTTCAGGAGTAGGAGAAAAGGAGCAGCTCAGTTCCTGCTGTTCCCCTCAGGCACATTACTAGTCAGTGCATGTAGTGATGATCGCAAACAATTGGATCAGGGTAAGGTGTGTGTGTGTGTGTGTGTAGAAAACAAAGCAGGCTCTCAACATCATTTCCTCCCTCCTTCAGCCTCCTGTCTTAAATATACTCTGTGTGTATTTAGCCTGTCCAACAGAGCTCTAATCGACTTCACTGTTTTTCATGGAAATAAAGCCGCGGCCTTATATTCCAATGTTACAAACAACGGCTGTAAAAATACCCAAACGCAGCACCACTGTCAAACCTCAAGCCATATATTTCCTAATAAAGGAGCACTTCTTTTTTTAAATTAGTTCCTCAGATTATCTACAGATATATGGTATTTATAAATAATATATATATAAATGCACACAAGTATATATATGTGCAAATATATATATATATATGCATACATACATACATACGTAAATATATATAAATATATGTGCACATATATACATATGCATACATACATACACACAAATATATATATAAATATATGTGCACATATATACATATGCATACATACATACACACAAATATATATATAAATATATGTGCACATATATACATATGCATACATACATACACACAAATATATATATAAATATATGTGCACATATATACATATGCATACATACATACACACAAATATATATATAAATATATGTGCACATATATAAATATACATACATTTATACATGCATACACACGTATAAATATATATACATATACGTATGTGTATATATATATATTACTATACACATACACACCTATACTTATACAGTATTTGTTTGATGACAACAACTTAAAATATTTGTCATCAAGTACAAACGTGAAGTTGATGAAAAAGACACAGGTGTTCTCATTAAACAATGTTTATGTATTTGTTAATACACCCTAGTACACATACAGACAAATAGTGGAAATGTAGTATAAAGCTTTTGATCGTATTTCTATTTTTTTTTTAAATATCTTCTTGTGTATAACAAATAGTCTCCAGGGGGAACGTACAGTACGGCATAAATCTCTGCTGATAATAACCAGCTCTTTTTTTTTTCCCTTTAGGAATAGAAACCTGGCCAGCCAGGAACCGATCCTACAGCCGTTCAGTCACTGATAGTCAGTCACTCTACTTTTTATCCCTTTTGTAAATAAACACATGCACCGGCCCTTTAAGACAAAAACAAACTCGGTTATTAAAAAAAAAAAAAAAAAAACTTTCTCTGGCTCGAAATCTCTGACCTATCTGATCCTGAGTGGTCACGCTCTTACAAAAACCCCGTCAACACTTTTGCCGACGACAGCACGAATTTAAGGTGAAAAGATTTAAATACTGCAGAGCTGCTCCGTCATGAGCTTCGGCAGGAATACTGAGGAGTAATGGAGCGTAAGTACACGCGCAATGCAGTACCCACAGTACACAGTGTCCTGTCTGTAGGATTACTGCAAGTACGTGTCAAGCAACATGATGGAGTGGTTCTGTGGTTGGTGATATTATTCACTCAGTCCTGGTTAAATAAAATACGCAGCCTCACGGTTTTTGTTCAACCTGAAACAGTTCCGTCTGTTCGCAGTTTCACTTTCTACTCACAACTGAAGAGATGTTTGTTTTTGTTTTGTTTTTTGTTTTTTAAACCATATTTAGCGTCACATGCTGACTAAGGGAATCTGCCAGATCATAATCGTGGACGTGGTGTCCTCGTGACGAGACTGTTTGGTCTTTTTGTTGACCCTGCGATGGCCCAGACCGCCCGACACCACCAGCAGCGAGCTGACGTCCACTTTGCTGCAGCGTCGCCCCCTCTGCTGGTGGGCCGGGTCGTGGAGCACGTCGTAGAGGGCGCCGTCCTCCGGGCCGTGCTCCAGGGAGCTCTGAGACGGCGCCAGGGAACCACAGGACGACGAGGACCGGGAGTCCTGGAGAGCCATGGTCGTGCAGCCCGCCTCTCCCAACCACACCCCCGACGTTTTGGCCGCATCGGTGGGCGGCTGGGCGTTCTCCCCGTCATCGGTCTCGGCAGGCTGGAGCGAGGAGGGAGGGGCGGATGACGAGGAGCCGGCGAGACGGTTGCAGACCGCAGCGGCAACGGTGAGGAACTTGACTGGTCCGCTGTGAGCGTGTAAGGAAACCATACCACGACCTGGGGACACACGGTGGATCAGAACGCCATAGGCTTGTTGGGGAAAGTAAACCATCGTGGAAATATTTAAAAATGTATTATTAAATATATAATTCAACCACTGCCAAAATAATGTTAAAAAAAAAAGAGATGCAGCGCATTGAGGGTCTCTTTTTTCCCGCAGGCCAACAACAAATAAAACTAAATGTATGACCTATATTATAGCGCATACAGTGCTAATACTAATGCTAATGCTAATGCTGCTAATAATACTACAAATCCTGCCAGTATATAGGGGCTACTGTATATACTGGTGGACCAACTCTGGTACACATTTAATATGATCTCGCGGGCCACATATCATTACATTGTGGGCCAGATTTGGCCCCCGGACCTTAGTTTGACACGTGCGGTTTACGACGTCTCTGACCTACGTCTCCATCTCCCATACATTTATTAATCTTGGCCCAAATTTTACATGGGAACTAAACGGTGAGCGGAGCGGATGAATACGTCGTCACGTGGCGCTTTATGCAGATGACGCCTTTATTTACGTCCATCTGTTATGATGCGACATTCAATTTTTTTTCCTTTTGCTTACGTACAGTATGTGAGTTCCTAACAAAAATCGATCAGTTTTTATAAAATAAAAAAAATAATAAAAAAATAATACGCACACCCCTGTATTGGAGTACTAGGAGTACTAGGAGTATTCCAGTGGTACAGTACCTGTGACCTTGGGGATACCCTGCAGTCTGGGGACAGAAAGAGCCACAGTGACCCCCAGGTTGGTCCCGACCATGAGCAGACCGTGACAGACCAGCAGGCTGCTCACCGACACCCTCTGGTTTCCTGCACATCAGAACAGAAGCGTTACAGGTGGAGAAAACAGATGTCCCTCACACCGGTGTCTCCCGCACCGACCGTGGACCGCTTCGCCTCAGGCTTGAGCACAGCAGTGTGTGTGTGTGTGTGTTTGTGTGTGTGTGTGTGGGAGTGAAGCGGTGCTGCTGTGTTTCTTCCTGGAGAGCAGGGACATTTCTGATGATGTTCAACTGCTATTTGTCTCCAGGACAACGTGGATAAAAGCTGCTCTTTTCAAGTGGCTGAAAACAAAACAAAAAAACAAAAAAACAAAAACCCTCTTTGTTTCACTTAAGGCCAAACAAACAAATAACAAACAAGTGGAAAAAAAAACAACCCCCAAAACAATAGTGTTGTGTAACTGAATTCTAAAAGGCTTCACTCCTGATGGCAGCAACAAAAGGCCAATCACAGCTGACCTTTATTGTCCTGGCCTGGAGAAAAGGACAGCAGAATAACTCTGGTGTCAGTCTGGACTGAAACAGCAGCTTCAAGGCCCACGGTCGGTGTCGGTGACCGATGATGTGGACAATGGAACTCATCAAACAGCCCCACCACCTCCCCCGCTCTGTCCCCCCTACGCTGTCAGAACATTTGCTACAAAAACGGTATCTAGTCAGACATTTCGATCATCCTTTTTTTTTATGATTGTATCAGGATCTGGACCAGGATCAGGATCAGGATCAGGATCAGGATCCTGGGACCAGGAATGTGGGTTTGGCAGAAAGGCAGGGATGACTCCCAGTCTCTCTTGTCTGACCCCCCACCCTCCCCCTCTCCTTCCCTCCCTCCCTCCCTCACCCGGCCCCCTCCCCACCTCCCGACAAGGACTGACCCCTCGCTTGGGGCACGCACACGTGTCGTTCGATTCCAGGAACCCTGCCAGAAAGACGGGCAGGTAGAGTGGAGGACGAGGCTCAGCCGCCTGCCCACATGTGCTTCCAATGAGGCTCCGGCGTTAGCGGGAGAACGCGGCCCGCTGGTCGGAACCTTGCTCAACTTCCTCCTTTCATAATATTTGGAGTTCCCCGCCCAGAGGGTGAAGTAAAATAAACCCGATGCGAGCGTCAACATGTCCCGACTCCGGGCCCTGAACCGGTACCGATGCTCCGCTTTGATCTGCACCTCGTCCTGACAATCACCAGCAGGGGGGAGGAGTGAGTCCTATACATTACAAAAATACACGACATCAGCCAATCACTGGGCGCCACGTGAGTCACCCTGCTATGAGGACTACTTTTCCGTCTTCCTGGTGTGGACCAGTGACGGACCAGTTATTCCACTTTTGTGATTTTTTAGCAACAGCACAAATCTGTAAACTGAAATGAATCTTTTTTTTTCGTAATGACTATGGCCTTACACATCTGCCTTACATGCAGAAGGTCCTGGGTTTGAGCCCCAGAGGAAGCCTATGCTCAATGGCGCCTCGTGTGGCAGCACGTGAGCTTGTTTGGGTTGCAAAGACTCATATTATTAGAAAACCCCAATTGTGGGATGAATAAAGGACTTTGATTCAATTCGAAATTTGAAAACGGTCCGATTGTAATCAATGAAATTGTCATTTTATTTGCTGGAAAAATTATAAAAATTTAATTCCTGGTTTATACAAACCATTATTACTATCACTAAACCTGAAGAGTTGAAGAAAAAAAATCAAAACACAATTGTATTTTGCGAAAACATGTTATATATTTGTGCCCACAATACAGCCACACATCGTCTATTTTTAGATCGTCAAGGACGTAGTGTATATCGGAGGTGCTCAATAAGTAGATCGCAATCCACCAGTAGATGGCTGGTGGATCACGAGCAAAAATATACATATATACATTATATTTTAGGATACTTGGACCAAATGGATATATTTATATATACATATATAACTATAAATATATATGTTCATATATATTTATATATACATTTATATATATGTACAACAATATATTTAAATATATGTATATATTTATATACATTTAAATATATATGTATATATATATATTTATATGTTTAAATATATTGTCATATAGCTTCATGCATTTGGTCCAAGTATCCCAAAATATAATGTAAATACAAAGCGTGTTCTGTTAACGTGAGTAAATATATTTAACGTTTTCAATAGTAGCTCCAGAGCTTGTGGACACCGCCCCCGGTGTCAATTCTAGGAAGTTTTCAATAAGACTGGAGCTCAGACAAAGACTGAGCTGGAGGTGTTTTCTACAGACACGCCCTGGTGTTTGTCCCATTAGACCACGCATCACCGCACTTTTAGGTCAGGAGGCGGACGAAGACCCTCGGCCCGTGACGTCATCGCAGTGACAGAACCACAGGCTTCCTCACACAAACAGCCTTTCATCAGAGTTGAATTTTTTTTTTAAAGCCTAGTTTTGTTCTCGCTCCAATTTACCACACAGAGCAGGAAAGCAGGGCTTCCAAAACTCTGGTCCAGGGACCGGTGTTGGTCCGTGTCTGGTCCAGGGACCGGTGCTGGTCCGTGAAAAAAATGTACTTCAGTTTTATTTTAATTCCAAAAGAATCCAGTCTTGTCTGTTTACGTGTTTCATTCAAAGATAATCTGTCAATGTTTCAGAACAACAGGTCAAAGGTCATTCAGACTAAAGTCTAAAAGATGTTTTATTTTGAAAATTCGACTGGTCCTTGGTACAAAAAAGGATCGGGACACCCCCCCTCCTCCCGCCCCCCCAGGACGTCTGTATCAGTGGGGAATGTACACAGATGTAGACTGGAACACGAACATCTTTAAAGTTACTGTGATAATGAGGGCTATTACAGGACATTAACCCACACTGCTGCTGCTGCTGCTGCTGCTGCTGCTGCTGCTAGGATAAGGAAAGGACTTCAGAGAAATTGCTCCAACATGCTCGAACACGAGAAGGACAACTCCACCTTCACCTCCTCCTGCGTTCGACACCGAGCCATTCGACACCAAAGACGACGCCCCGTGTTCTTTCCTCATGAGGAGATATAGTGTAGCTCACAGGTCGACGCCGTGCATTCTCCAGACCGACCACAAGTGCAGTGGGGGTCAGTAATGTAACTGTGATACTCCTCTAAAAAAAATAACGCAGACTTTACGAATGATTAATTGACTTAATTGCCGTTTCCTTTTGCTGACTTGGTTTCCTCTCTCTCACGCTCGCACATTCTGACGACAGGGAAATCCCTGCGATCCGAACTGGGCGGCGAATGTAAAAGTCCAGCAGAGTTTGTGCAGACGCAGCACATTCATTGGTCATTTTCCCCCCTAGTGGTAATTCATCAGCTCAGATGATAACACACCGGGGGGTGGCACGCAGCACGATCCGATACAAAGAACCTCAATCACAACAGTAACTTTGATTTCCACGTTGACTGACAGCGCAGAGACCCGGTCGAGTTATCGGAGGAAGTGGGCTCCTGACGGAGGAGGCCCACGGTACCAACACTTTCATGTCTGACTCAGAACCAGCTTCCTCTGTGGTTGCATGGATCCTATTAGCCTATATAAGCAAGGAGGTCCCAAATCAGGCAGAGTTTATCCTCACATCTGTCTGAAGAAAATGACTCGCACTTAACCCCAAAAACTGAGCAACAGGAAAAAAAAAAAAAAAAAAAGGTTTGTCCTGGCAAATCAGGTGAATTCAGAAAATGCAGTCGTTTTTTTTTTTCTTCTTTTTTTCCTCAGAAAATCTGAAAAGCTGCACGCTGGGAGAAGAGTTCTGTTTTCTTTACAGTCTGAAGTAAAGTCGGTGAAGAAAAGCTTTAGAAAAACCTGCAGCTTTGAACAAACTGAAAGGTTCTTTGTTGCTGTAAACCACGGTTGGCACCGAGTTCCTGAAGCATTTCTGGTGTTTCAAAGATAATCTCTGAGTGCGGTCAGACCTGACAGCTGAGAAACACAGATACACAGAAGTCGGAAACTCACGTACTCTAGATAAGCACCTACGTCACTCACTTACGCTAGCACGGTGGAAACATCATGACCTTGGACGTGACTGACTTATGCCTGGAAGCCATAATGAAGGGCGAAAAGTTCCCCCAAAAAACACAACAACGGCAAATGTAGCAAACGTAACCTTTGTAAACTTGAATGATAACAAACCTCCAGTCACTAGGTGGCAGCACCTCATACAGTGGTTTGTAGAGATAAAAATATACATGTTATCAGGTTCTCAATAGTATTTTAATTTATGGAGGTCTGTCCCCAAGGGGGGGGGGGCATGACAGAAAATATCTGAGAACCACTACTTTAAGACCATACGTCAGAATGATGGAAGAATAAATATTAATGAATAAATTAATCATTTTCATCGAGATGGCGATGAGGACGACATGAAAGGACGTTCTGTACTTCCTGTTCCTGTTGTCAGGCCCTTGATCTCTGATAATTCTACGTTGAACTGGATGTGATCAACAACGGGAGCAGACGTGAATGCGATGAAGCGCTCCATCTGAGGACTGACGCAGCATCATTAGGGTTAACTCACCCAGACTCAGTTAAAACAAATATAAATATATATTTTTGGGCAGACAGAAACTCATCTGGGATCCAATCGTCCCGTGAGCTACGACGAGCGCCGCTCGCCTCTGACACCGCTCTGCATTTACAACCTGCTAATGACAGGTTTACAGCTGCAGAGTGGAACAGGGTGTGCGATGATGTAAGCAAACTGCCTCTCAGACGGGGAAAGAAAAAAAACCGAAAAAAAAACCTGCGGGATTGTCAGAATTACTACACTGAGGGCTAATGCTACGCTAGGTCTGCTTAAAAAGAACTAACTCTTAGCTACCGTTGTTCTCTTGTTGTTTAGGCTTTGACCTCTTTACCTTTGACATTTTGACAGTTCAGTCGAAGGGAAGTGCGTACAGAGCGTTGAGCCAACAAACATTTTAACCGACTGAAGAAGTTGTTCGTGATGAAAGTACTCTTAGATTTACTCTCGCAAACACTCGTTCCATTTGGCGGACGACTCCTTTTTTCCACTCTGAACTCCAGCAGACGGCTCTAATCTGCGCTCTGTCCCAAAGCAATGTCATAACTCTTGTTGAGAGTTCGTCAAACGCACGACTCTTTATTGGTTTTTGTTCAACTTTTCGACAGTTTTTTTTTTTTTTTTGTGCAGCCCTATGAATAGAGACGTAATTACAGGTTTGACATCAACTGTTTAGAGGAGGATGGGAGCGCGGCAGACCTGCCATCACAGCAGCTGTCTGGATGAGCGTCCACAGTGATGTCAGCGCGTTACTGACAGGCACCGCGCAGGACAGCATTCTGGGAGCATGAGCTCATGGGACGTGCTACGGCAACTTACGACAGACTGTTTATGTACATTTGGAAGGAGCTCAGTTTTTACCTGGTGGTGACACCAGGTCACATGTCAATCAACAACAAAAGAAAAAGCTTTTCCCACAATATAACAGTTGATTTGTTTTGTCAGGGGTTCAAAACCCAACACTGAGCAAAGACCAAAAAAAAACAACAGTAGGGTTAGGGGAGAATACTGATGTCATACTGATGGCTAATTAGCGCTCAACGTTAAGTTCGTATATGGAGCCTCAGATCCTTCGTTTATGTTCGGATGAATACCCTAATGCCGGAAACAGAGCAGTACCCGTGCCCGTACGTGTTAGCATATCCATTAGGGATGGTTTGATCCGATACGTTATATCTGATACCGATCAGTATCAGTCCTACAATGGTCAAAATTCCAGAATGTTGACCAAAAAACAACAACTATAGCTCGTTTGAGCTGAAACCTCAGCTCAAATAATCAACGTAACTTTGCACGACATACTGTAAACAGGGACATTATCGCCTCGGCAACAGCAGCCCGCGGCATACTAAGGAGAAAAGAAGGTATCGGGTAGTTATCGGTATCAATCAAGATACCCATGTTGCAGTATCGGTATCGGAAAAAGTTGTATCGAGCCATTCCTGGTTAGCAGTGACGTTTGAAACAGACAAAGCTAAGAACACCCAGGAAGGAAAACATCTATGAGGACTAAGACTGGCTGCCTTTTGAAAGTGCCTGAGAGGTGGCGCTCTCTCAGACACACACACACACACAGTGACAGAACAGAACAGAACACAAAAAAAACAAAGAGACGTTCAAAAACGGTGACCAGGACTGACAACAATTTGTGAAACTTTTCAAAGAACCTCTTCTCACCTGGAAGTATGTTGTGAACGGGCGTAGCGATGTTGATGTCCTGCAGGTGTTCCAGGGTCTCGGTGTGAAAAAGACGGAGAGTGGAGCCAGAGCTGAAGGCGATCCAAATGCCCACACCGGCCACCACCATGTGGGACACCACCATGCCCTCCTCCTGGTGGGCCTCCAGCTGCCTCTGGATGTGGACGACAGTAGGACAGTATTTATCGTCTTACGTATCGCTACGGTATGTCTGAGTTTCCAAACCTTTTTGGGCGTGTTTAGTTGAACACCTACTGGTAGGAATTGAAGAAAGACACACACAAAGATCTTCTTCATGAGCTCTGACTTTTCTCTTTTCTCTCTTTCTTCTTCATGAGCTCTGACTTTTCTCTTTCCTCTCTCTCTTTTTTATTTTCTATCGCTGATAGACCGATACAGAAACATCAAACATGTTCCAACATTTTTTTTTTTCAGCCTGAGTATGACACGTAACAAACTGTGCTTTTCAACTTTTACCACCTCCACCAGTGGTTAGATAATCTCACCACGCTGCGCTCTGTGTGTAGGTGGAGTTATTTTGAGACGAGAAGGTCCATTCACAAGTGTCCCTGTGTGGATGCTCTGATAAAAACAGACCACACAGGAGCAGGAAAGTCACTCACTGTATCAGCTCTACGATACATCAGAGCTGCCTTTAAAACAATGATTAGATTCTCTGTTAAACATGAGCGAACTTTGGTGTCAACATTTGATGCGTCACTCCTCACTCATGGACCAAAGCCTTAAGGATGACTGAGGGAAAGAAGAGCAGGAAAAGCAGGTGCTCCACTCTGACCAGCCTAATGAGGCTAATGAGATTATGAACCGGGGCATGTCACAGGGACAGCTCTATTCCTGGTCCTGTTACCAGGGCAGTCGCTTCTATTGTCTTAACTAGACCAGAACGCACGCCCTGGGAAACATCCTCACTCACGGGAGATGACATATTTGTTCTTCGGTACGACTCCCTAACTGACAATACTGAGTGTAAATAGTCCACAACGTACAGGATTTTTTTTTTTTTCACTGACATCTTGGCCTGAAACCACATTTATACAGTATCACCCACAGACCTGACAAACAGAAGGAACATTCTCATTAGTTAATTCACCCACAGACCTGACAAACAGAAGGAAGATTCTAATTGGTTAATTTTTTTAGTGCCGTACCTCAACAGTGTGTGTCGGAGAGCTGATGATGAAGACCTGCCCCCCCGATGAAGCCCACAGGTGCTCCTCCACGGCAACCATGGCTTTGACTGGGAGAACTCCCAGCTTCAACACCTTGGGTTTGTCACTGTCCCACAAACCATCTGTAGACACAGACGCAGGTATGAGTGACTGGGTACACACACATGTGCAAACACGTGCCCACGCATATACATATATACATATATGTATCCATATACAGACATATATATACATATATAACATACATAAACATATATATGTATACATATACAGACACATATATACATATATAGCATATACATAAACATATATGTATACATATACAGACACATATATATATAAAACATATACATAAACATATATGTATACATATACAGACACGTTTATACATATATAACATACATAAACATATATATGTATAGATATACAGACACATATATATAACATATACATAAACATATATGTGTACATATACAGACACATATACATATATAAGATAAACATATATATGTATACATATACAGACACGCATGTACATATATAACATATACATAAACATATATGTATACATATACAGACATATATAAAACATATACATATATGTATGCATATATAGACATATATACATAAACATATATATGGCAAATATATATTAACACACATTTATAAATACATACACATATGCACATATATACATACTGTATATATATACACACACAGTAGACAAATACTATACATATATTTGCACATACATACACACATACATTTCTTGTCTGCGTGTTATTTGTCTCAGTTGTACTTCTCTACTTCTAACTCAGAGCGCGACATAAAAAACCTTGAACCTCGATTTGTGGATTTGCAGGATTAGCCAAGCGTTAACGGTTTAAGACGGAGTGTAACGGTCTGTAAAAATGTCACGTTTAAAGGTCACGAGCGTCTGTGTCTCTGCTGTGTCTCTGGGTTTGTCAGCCTCCACTGTGGACATAGATGGTTTTGAGGCTGTAGTCAGATCTGGTCCCACACAACAACACCTCCTACACGATCTGCTCCTCGTGTGCCTGTGCACAGACTGTGTTAGCTGAACGGAAGAATCCATGGAGCTGTTACCGATTCAAAGCCTTAACAGCTCGTTATATTATTATTATTTGCGGAAAGAAAAAAAGTCGAATCATTTGGAAAAATGTGTCACTCAAACAGGGTTTTTTATTGACCTGTGACTAGCTCAAATAAAAAAAAAGTTCATTTCCTCCACATCCCACATTCCCTTCAGTAACGCAGCCCAGAAAGGGAATGAGGCGTGACCAGAGAAGGCACAAAGGCAGCTATTGAAGAGAAATCAGAGGTGTTCTGTCAGAGGTGCAGTACTGACTGAGGAAGTGGAGGTTTACCACTCAAGTACTGTTACTACTAGTACTAGTTCTAGTACTAGTAGTGCTGCGTTTGAGTTTGTAAATGCACAGAACTCAATTTCTCGAAAAAAAAATTCTTACTTTTTGCACAAAAAGTAACATCTGTTTTGTAATAATCTTTTTTTGTAACAAAGGACGCGGACTGATTACTACTTCTCAAATACCTCATTAATTAAAGTCGTTGTAATTATTTGACACAATGTGCAGTTTTTCAACGTAAATACATTTTTAGTTGATGGCTAAAACCCAACAACCGACTAACTGCACGGGTGAAATCAAGCGGAAAAAAATATTTATTTTCTTATTTTCTAGTTTCCATTGATACTGTCTGCCTGTAGGGGGACTCTTGTTGCTAACGTTAGCCCAGTGATTTGCATTAATTTATTATTATAAAGTAACTGCGCAAAACTGTGCATCAGAAAGTCTTCTTTCTGGCTGCAACACAGTAGAAACCTCTGGTGCAGTACTGCCATCTACTGGGCTGGAGTGCGTGAATCAAAGTTGTGTTTGTTTCTTAATCCCTCAGTCTCCATGAATACATTTAAAAACTGACCCATCATTGTCAAACTGGTCAAATTCAAATTCTCACAAACAAATTGTAATCATTGTCAAACTGGTCAAATTCAAATGATCACAAACAAATTGTGACCTGACGAGTCCACGTTTTTGAGTCGAAGGTTAGCGTGTGTAGCATTATTAACTTCTATTAAGGTTTGTCCTTAGCGGCTTTAGTGCTTTCAGAGGAGGAATTATAGACGGGAGGAAGAGAATAAAACAGATAAGACTGTGGACGTGAAGGATTATGTAAGTCTTCAACCCACGTATATCAGTACTTTCAGCTGAGGCTTCCCTTCATATCAAACCTGCGTGGGAGTTTATGCGTAGTCGGTAGTAGTAGTGTGTAGTACTCTGTAGTAAACCAGTGCATGCTAGTACAACAAGCCCGAAATAAGTATTTGTGAAATATTCAACCTCGTGTTTACGTTTGCCTTGACTTAAAAACTTGAACTAAAAGCAAAACACGTTAAAGGAGATAAAACAAAACCTTGGCTTTTAAAAAGTACAAAATGAAAAGTCAAGATGTTCTGTCTGTTCTGTGTTTATGGTCCGTGACGTCTGACCTTTGCTAAATCACCGCCTGCCCCTCCCTCCATCACTCACTCGCAGAGGAAACAGCGAGCCTGGCAGAATGTCTGCTCAGTTTCAGCCTCGACAGCAGAGGAGAATTTACAGCTCGTCACCACAGGATTCCACAAAGACGAGGAGAGAAAAAGCCACAGTCTGTTGGAACGGAGTCACTGCCTCATCATCACCACTGACACGGTTTCCAGGTCAGATCAGCGTTTCCGCCTCAGTGAGAGGTCATCAGTGGGAAACGGCAACAGTTTCTCTCAATTTGTCTGAAAAATTTTATCAATTTACTGCAAATATTTTGTCATTGTTCGCCTATGCGACAGTAACAGACACAATATTTAAATCAGTGGTGTCAAACTCATTTTGGTTCAGTCCAATCAGACCAGTCCGATCATAACATAATTACTAATAAATAACAATAAGTCCATATTTTTCCTCGTTGTTTCCATTCAAAGTATTCATATTTAATGACATATAATTTTACGAAACATCACGAACATGAAGCATTTGTGCATTTTTTTTAACTTTACTTTCAAAATTCATCAAGCTGGCTGGGTTGAAGCCCCTAGCGTGCCAGTTTTTGGCCCACGGGCCACATGTTTGACACCCTTGATTTGAACACTCTTCCCTTGTGGGACAGAGAAATGGCTATGAAAACTAAAGGAAGAGAGAAAGAGAGAGAGAGCGAGACTTAAAACTGTTGAAGATCTTAGTGTAATAGCGAGACTTAAAACTGTTGAAGATCTTGTGTAATTCTTTCAATTCCTGCCTGTATATTAGTGTTGTGTTCAACTAAAAAGGCTTGTTTAGTGTTGTGTTCAACTAAACAGGCCCTTGATCCACACTGTGAAAAGTGAATTGAAACTAGACGTTTTCTGGCAATTTTTTGCGTGGGATTTCTGTAGAATGGCTGGAAACGAACATGCAAAAAAAAAAAAAAAAAAAAAATTGCAGGTGAGCTAGATATGCTAACAAAGCACGGGCCACTGTGACAAAGTCCTTCCTACAACAGACCTGCAGGGCACAGTCTCTCTGCCAAAGTGTGGAAGATGAGCCAAGGTTTTAGCATCAGGCATTATGTTTCAGTGACGCAGCCGATGATGAATGGGAAAAACAGGCCAGCGCTTCCTCCTGGGACTTCATTGGACACACGCGTGGCGTCGGATAAAGAAAAGAAAACACTCCTTTGTCGTTCAGTTACATCAGAGACGACAATGAAAAAAAAAACACACACACCACACTGGTGTGTAATGAGAAGGACGAGGAGATAAAAGAAGATAAAAGCGTCCGAAACAACGGTTAATGAGCAGCTGACAGAACATTCCTGTGTTTGGCTGCACAAGGCTCCTGATTGGTCCAGGCTGACTGTGGGAGGACTTCTCCTCTCTGTCCTCTCTGTCCTCTCTGTCCTCAGGCCATCATTCATATTCTTCTACCTCTGAGTCATTCTCCACTTTCCTCTTTGAGACTCAGAGCATTTCTGGGAAAACTACAAAGTAAATTCTCTCAAAATTGTTTTTGAAAAAGAAGGAGAAAAACAACAACAACTAAGCAAAAAAGTAAGAAAAACTAAAAGCCGAAAAACTAAAGAGAAATGGAATGAGAAGTGCGGATGTCAAAAACCGTAGGAGACCAGATTCCTTCCCTCGTCTGTGCTCGTACGTGAGCGAAAGACAATAAATAGGTCAGTGGCAACCGACTGGTTTCTCCCAGACAACGGAGCAACAGCAGCAGCAGCAGCAGCAACTCTCTGCTGCTGGGCTTGAGCAACACAATCAATCTCTGACGTGTGAACACGAAGAATTCCACAAAGTATTTGCACAGCAGAGCAAACGTCACCTCTGGAAACAAGGCTGTCGTTTTTGTCAAACAGAAAAACTGTGACACAACGTGATGACAGTCTGTCTGTGCGTCATTTAAGGAAGTGGTAAACAAATGTTTACAAATGTCCCCAGAACCAGAACTGTGTGTGTGTGCGTGGAGGCCACGGGCCTTTACACAGTAAAGTAATTATTCTATTTCCAATGCAAATTGGATATAATTTTATATTTTGTACTCTCATCTCAGCGGCCGTTCTAGAACCTTCTGCTGACTCAGCGTTAGGCCGTTCCCCTTTCTAAAGAAGCCGAGTTTTGTAAGTTTGTTTTTTTAACGTAAGTTAGTTTGAGGGCAGTGCATGAAAAAAAAAAATACTGTGACTGAGTCACGAGCTGAAAAGAGGAGCGGGTGGAAGTTGGATGGTTTTTCAAAATAAAATACCAAGCAGACTAATGTAAATACAATTAAAATTCAAAATTATATATATATATATTATATATATATATATATATATAACATTTGAGTTGCTTGAGTTTAAAGGCACTTTTCGTAACCTTCCGTGACCTCCTGATGGGGCAGTCTTGTAGACTGAGGGTCTTGATATTGATATTGTCACAGCAGCTGTTAATTCTCTCTTTGGTTCTTGGCTTCGGGCTGTTACATCTGTGTTACATATTTCTAATTATAATTTAAAATTTATAATAATTGTCATTACTGTCGCTATTGTGTTGTATTGTTCTGTCTGTGTTTATTTATGTTGTACTTTTATATTCAAACTCAAGGCCCGGGGGCCAAATGCGGCCCGCCAAGTCATTTTCTGTGGCCCGCATAT